TACTTTTGAATTATTTGTTTTTCATACTTAATATCTTTAAGACCATTTGGTTCCCACATAAATATTGAAGAATATTTAAGGTGAAAAAACTTGATAAATTGTATCTACTGAACATCCTTTGCTTTAAATCTAAGGAAATTTAAATCCAAGACTTTGTAGTTTTCCCAACGTTGTACAGCTAATTGTGAAATTCACTGTTAGGTTTTTTTTTTTTTTTAACATTTGAAAAATTGGCCAAAGTTAAATCATTATTTAAATCTCCCAATAGCTTCTGATAGGTTAGGACCTGGGATACGATTTTCTTCTATGTAAGATATTTTTAAGTAAAAAGATTAACCTAGCCTGTGTAGAGTTTAAACTTAGGCTATACCACCTAGAGAGAGCCTGTATCAACATAAGAAAGAGGAAAAGAAAAAAAATGTCAGGGTGGATTAGATGGCTCAGCAGGTAAAGAAACTTGCTGCCCAGACTGACAACCTGAATTTGATTCTTGAAACCCACCTGGTGGAGAGAAATGACTTCCACAAGTTGTCTTCTGATCTCCACATGTATGCCTTGCACACGTATGCACCCAAGCATACACATCAAGTAAATTAAAAATATGTAGTAAAAAATTATGCCACTTTTTTATCATTTAAAAACCACCCACAGAGATAGATAATGATTATTATTCTATTCTATTCAAGAAACGTTGAAGAGGAGGTGAGTTGATGTATGTCTATATAATACCTGCCACTCTGGAGACTGAAGTGGAAGGATAGAGAGTTCTAAGCAACATAGTGAGCCCTTTTCAAAAAGAGGAGGAGGCGGAGAAGGAGAGAGAGGGGGATGGGGAGGAGGAAGAGGGAGAGGGAGAAACAATTAACTAATTTATGAAGGTTTTAGAGATTCTGGTCCATATTAAATGGTCCCATTGATGTTTCTTCTGTTACAAGACAGCATATGATTGTGGAAGTACATGGCAGAGCCAAACTACTCATCTCATGGCTGGAAAGCAAAGAGAGAGAAAGGGGGAAGGAACCAGGGTCCCACTATTCCTCAAGGTCCTGTCCCCAGTGACCTAAACCCTCTAGCTAGGCCCACCTCTTAAAGTTCCATCACTTTCTAGTAGTTGTGCCCTGGAGAGCTAGTGTTTAGCACATAGCCTCTGAGAAGACTTTCAGGATGCAAACTATTGTGTGCTATAAGCCAGGAACTTTCTTGGACACTGTTGTTAAGAACTCTGAAATTATGGTCTAGTTTTGCTAATTGAAAATTAATATTTAGTTTCTATTCTTGTTCTACTTAATTAACTACATGAGTATATATTAATTCAGGGGGTAAAATTCTGGTTTGCATCAGCTGTGGGAATAAATGGACATAGTCTAGGAGAATAATTGATAATCAGTTTATACTCTTACTTGTTTTTAAGCCATATTTAAATTAAAAATCGCTAATGTGATCTTATCCTATTATTATAGGTTACAGATGTTGGATCACTTTGCTGAATGTGTTAAACAAGCCAAAGGTGTCCGCCAGCAGGCTGTGCAGCTTAATATATTTACTGCTGTTCTTAGTGCACTGAAGGTATCTGCTTTTAGAACATCATATTCTGAAAGATGTTAATGCATTTTCATAAGCCAGGCATATCAATATTATTATAACACAATATTTATATATATGGACTTGATAATAGTGCTTTATATCATCTTAATAAATGATAATAAATAATTAGCTTGATAAAGTTATTAGAAACTTTATAGTGAGCTCATTGTAATGAGGTCAGTGTTTTCTTTTTTTTTTTTTAATGAGTCCTTATTTCTACTTGAACCTCGAATTTTACAAGTGCCAATATTTCTGTTTAATGAGATCTGATTTTTCTAATGAAGATTGACTAAGCAAATCTTAAGTTCTATTTGTGATTTAAAATGTAAATCAGGAGAGGATGAGTTATGCACATGAAAGAATGTTACATGGAGAGATTATTTTCTGGTTTAGCTACTTACTAACTTACATATAAAGCAATGCTTTTAATCTTTTTCAAATGTCAGTTTCCATACTTTGAGCTACAATAACAAATATTTCCCTAGCTCATCAGAATTCTTGCATCATAATATCCAGCCTTTCATTGTAGATTTGAAAACTTTTATATGATTTAGCATTAAGGTTATTATAGGATAATGCTCTAAAAATAAAATTCAGTACAACATAAATACAGGTGTTTAAATGAACATGTCTAAAGTCATACTTTGTAAGCATTGATGGAAAAGGCATATAGGCATTGCTTACAGAAAAAAAGGTTGTGTTATGTACCCACTGATATATGCCCTATTTAGGGACTGACACATCTGAGCACTAAAACAGAGGTGAGGTGGTCATGATGTTCCTTATTAGATCAGAGAATAGGGGACTCTAATACTGCTGTGCAGATTGTGCTTTTCTTCATAGATATACTAATGCTTCTGCTGTAGTTAGCAGTTTCTGCTGGCACCATGACTTAGATTTTTTTTCATCTCAGGTGAGTAAATTAAATTCCAAAGCAGTATGTACAGCTAGAACAGAGAACAAACCTATGTCAATATTCAGTTACTGGGACTTTTTTTCCTTTCACATTTTGTCTTTGTGTATATGTTAACTGTGTACTTAATACATAATTACAGGGGGTTTGTTTTGTAGTTAGTCATATATTTATATCCAGGGCCTTACATTGCTAGGCAAGTACTCTACCACTGAGCTATATCCCCAGCCCTTTCTTTAATTTTTATTTTGAGGTATGGTCTTGCTAGTTGTCCAGGTTGGCCTTGAACTTGCTGGAAGCTTAGGTTGACCTTATAACTTGCAGTCCTCCTGCCTCAGCCTCTCTAGTAGCTAGGATTACAAATGTGAACCCCATAAGTGTTTTTCTTTGAATTTCAGACAAATGGATCAAAGTTTCACACATGTTAAATGTAGAGTGATACCTTTTAATCAGTTGAATAATGTGCAATTTAATATTACCAATGCCCTTTATGTACAAAAGAACATTAAGTATTAGTCTTTGTATAGAAATTCTGACATGGACTTGGACTATTGATTGTTACTATGCTCTGACATTATATTTAAGAAGTGATCACTGTCCATTTACGAGGTACTAACCCTAATCATAGCACATACATATGAAAGCTCACTGAGAAAAATAATGTATGAAGACATACGTGTTTTTACAAAGATTGTAGCATGTCTTTTCTTTTAGTTAACATGAATTATGAATTGTCATCCTTATTTCTTTTTAAATCAATGTAGGGCCTAGCTGAAAACAAAAGTACTTTAGGACCTGAGGAAGTTCGTAAGTCTGCTCTGACACTGGTTATGGGTGCTCTTGACAACCCAAATCCCATCTTACGGTGTGCAGCAGGGGAAGCTCTTGGAAGAATGGCTCAGGTGGTAGGAGAAGCAACTTTTATTGCTCGAATGGCCCAATATAGCTTTGACAAGTAAGTGGGTCTGTTTACTAACAAGTTCAACACACTGAGATATCTTTTAAGTAATCAGTAGTTGTTTCCTGGACTATGGATTTTCCACATGGGAGAATAGCATATGACAATATTTTTTGATTTTTATAACCTGAATTTTTAATTCAGTAATTGACCTCTAGAGTTGGGAGAGGTATAATATGTTAAGCACTTTTGAGGTGTATAGAGCTTGTCATCTGACTATCAGGAAGAACATTAGTGAAGACTTCCCCATCTTGTGCACCTAGTTAAAATAAGGCCTTCAACCATTCTCTTCTTTTTGCCTTCTTTTACTCTGTCCCCATTTGTTCTTTCTTGTAATTACTTCTTGGAATGTGGCATCACTTTTTTAATAACCATCAGGTTTTTTTTGTTTTTTTTTTTTTTTTTTTTTTGGAAAACGGTTTCCCTTTAGCCCCAGCTGCCCTGAAACCCCCTTTTTAAACCAGGCTGGCCTTGAACTCACAAAGATCCGCCTGCCTCTGCCTCCCAAGTGCTGGGACTAACAGTGTGTACCACCACACCCAGCAAGGTTTTTATCTCTTAAATTAGGGGGAAAAGGAATAAAGTTAAACTTTAGGTTTTAAGGGGTTTTCGTATATTAATTATAAAGAATGATTTCAGAGATTCAAACAAGTACAATTAGATGAGATGATGCAGACACAGTTACTAAATACTATCCAATTGTTGATCAGGTATTCAAGGAGAGAAGCCAAAAATCAAGGTCAGTCTAGAAATGACATTTGAGTTATATAAATGATCATTCTTTATTGTTATGTATTTTGAACAGTAAACATACCAAACCTGTATCAGGCAGCTCATAATCATCTATAACTACAGGATAGGGAATCCAATGCCTTCTCCTGGACTCTGTGGGCATCCACACACACATGCATGTACCCACACACAGACATACACATAATTTTTAAAAAATTAATGAATGTGGGCTTGAGAGATGACTCAGCAATTAAAAGCACTGGCTGCTCTTGCAGAGGACCCAGGTTCAAATCCCAGCACCCACATGATGGCTAATAACCGTCCGTAACTCCAGTCTAGGGGATCTGATGTCCCCTTCTGACTTCATCAGGCATTGCATGACACGAGTGCTCTTACATACATGCGTGCAAGCAATGCATTCATACACATAGAATAAAAATAAATAATCTTTAAAAATTGAAAAAAAAAATGAATGAATGTAATCTGTGAATTCTAAAACATCATATAGATCAGAAAGCTCCCTAGATGCAATTTGTTGTTTTCAGTGAGCTAAAATATAGGGTTTATTTTCTCAGCTGTATTAATCTGTTCAGCAGATAGTCTAAGATATAATAAATGGTTTATAGATGATTCCTATTTTTAAGTCCTGTTAATTTTCAACTTGATGCTAATTTGGCACAAGATTTCAATGTGCAATAGAGTTGACTGATCTGCAGGTATAGGTCACCTGGGCTTCTCATGGAAGCTCATACCAGCAAGACAGACTGTTGATGAAAACAATGATATACAGTAAGTCTGCAGGAAACCGAGATTTTTAAAAATTTAATCATGTTCTGTCAAATCTAAAGTACTAGGCTGTTTTTTTTGTTGTTGTTCAAATGTGGCTTTTTTACTTCAGTAAGCATCCAAATACAGAGATATTGGTTATCTAATGAAGAACAGAGTCTCTTACAATACTATGGCATAAGCAGTAAAATTATGTTGTCTCACTCTGTCTGTGAGCAAGGTCTTTCACTTTCATTAGGGTGCACTGGAAGGATTGGCTAGCTCTGCACTTCCTTGAATCCTTCCCTGAGGCTGAAGCATTCCCTTTTACACACCTAGGAAGATCTTGCTTCTTGTTTCTAGGGGGCCTCAGCTCTTTGCCATGGTGGCCTCTCCAAGGAAACGCTTGGATGTCCTTGTGACATAGCAGCTGGTTTTCTCAAGACGAAGTGATCCCGGACAGCAATGAGGAAGCTACATACCTTCATGGTCACTAGTACTAAGTTTTTTAAAAACGTATTTATTTTTATGTGTATGAATGTTTTGCCTGCAAGTAATGTATGTAAGTGTACCACATGCATCCAATGACCACAGCAGCCAGAAGAGGATCCCTGGAATTGGAGTTATGCATAGTTGCTAGTAGATGTAGTTCATTGGTAGAACATGTACTTACCATACCAGCAGCTGTTCACTCAGTCCCCAGCACCAGAGGGGCAGTGTTATAAAACATAGTTTTGAAGATGCATTTCAGGTTGCTCTCTGGGCTTCTTCGTTATTTTAGGTGCTGTTCTTAGTGGTATTTTTGTCTAATATAACAGACTATATTGGTACAGGATTATGAATCATTTTATGGCTTTAAAAGTATCAATGAGGGGCTGAAGAGATGGCTCAGCAGTTAAGAGCACTGACTGCTCTTGCAGAGGACCCAGGTTCGATTCCCAGCACCCACATGGTGGCTGTGAACTGTCCTTAACTCCAGTTCCAGGGGAATCTGAAGCCCTCTTCTGACCTCCATGGCATTGCATGACACGGGTGCACTCACATACATGCAGGCAATACATTCATACACATTAAAAAAAAAGAATCAATGAGTATTGCTTGGGATTTTGACATAGTTGTTATTTGCTTTGAGACCCTCTTGCTCAATACCCCAACTGCTCTTGAATTAATAATCCTTCTGCCTCAACTTCTCAAGTACTGTGATTACATACATGTCTGTGCCACTATGTTTGACTTTACACACGTACTTTTAATTTGAACCTTTCTGTTGACAGAAGTGAAATATTGAGGTTAGTTCCATTTAAACTCTTGAGTTATTGGTTAGATGTGACTAAAATGAAGGAATTGGATTTTTCAAATAAACATTTTTTAAAATGTTACTTTATTTTTTAAAAATTTTATTTATTATTATTATTATTATTATTATTAATTATTTTGGTCTTTTTGAAACAGGGTCTCCCTGTAGCCCCAGCTGTCCTGGAACTCACTATGTGGACCAGGCTGGCCTTGAACTCACAGAGATCTGCCTGCCTCTGCCTCCCGAGTGCTGGGATTAAAGGCGTGCGCCACCACGCTCGGCTTATTTATTATTTTTTATGTATTGCCTGCATGTAGGTAAGTGCACCCGAGTCGTGCAATGCCCACAGAGATCAGAAAAGGCTGTTGGATCCCCTGGGACTGAAGTTATGGACAGTTGTTAGCTGCCATGTGGGTGCTGGGATTTGAACCTGGGTCTTTTGCAAGAACAACAACCAGTGTTCTTAACCACTGAGCCATCTCTCCAGCCCCTCAAATACACATTTAAAAGCATAAAGGACCTTCACAGCCATTTATGGGAATAGGGCAGATTCAGTCTTGTGTCTTGAACAGCTAGAAAAGAAGATAACAATAAGTGAAATGATTTTCAGATATTAGATAGTAGTAGCCAGTGATCTCTGGGGAGTAAGAAGCAAACAGAGCACACTACAGCTGCTTCAGATCACTGCCTTAGGATAGTTTCTGGAATGAAGCTCAGGAAGAGGAAACCCAGCCTAACAGAGTTAAAGCTAAATCGGAATTTGGGGTGGTGAATGGAAGTAGAATATTTTCCTTTTGGGTGTATGTATAATTCATGAGACTGAATTTCTAGAAGAAAATAGAGAAATCAGTCTCTGATGCATAGTCTTTTTTTCAGGTTGAAGTCAGCTCGAGATGTTGTATCTAGGACTGGTCATTCATTAGCCCTTGGTTGTTTGCATCGTTATGTTGGTGGTATAGGATCAGGGCAACACCTGAAGACTAGTGTCAGCATTTTATTGGCTCTAGCACAAGATGGGACATCCCCGGAAGTACAGGTATGTAGTACTGAAGTTTTTTTCTACATTTGTTTTTGAAGCAAAGTCTTTGTATTTTGCCCAAAGTGGCTTCAAACTTGCCATTCCTGCCTCAGCCTCCTGAGTGCTAGGATTATAGACATGTACCACCATACCTAACACAGAATTTTTTGTTTATGTTTTTGATTTTTTGAGACAAGGTCTCCCTATAGCCCTAGCAGGCCTGGAACTCGATATGTAGACCAGGCTGGCATTGATCTCACAGAGATCTGTCTGCCTCTCTCTGTCTCCTGAATGCTGCTACTGAAGGGGTATGCCAGCATGCCTGGTTTCTGACATGAAATTTTAAAATAATACTTATGACTGTTAAGTTGCTAGGAAAAATGTAATATGTTTTTTCCTTGTTATTTTAGGAGTCTTATTTGTAATAGATGATTAGTAAGATTTTTGCTTTTCAACATAATTTCAATGTCTGCATTATTCCAAGAATTAAACCTTTTTACATACATTCTTTGAAGCATTTTATTGTTTATTGTCCTTTGAATTTATTCTTTTTTGCATTTCCTTTTATTGTTAGGTGCATTGATACATTATTCCAATTAACATCATTCTTTTCTTCCTTATTACCTCAGCCCAGTTCTTAGAGTCATTGATTGAATCAAATTTTGCTCTTTAGTTTTGTTATCTCTGTTTTCTCATATATATAACTGCAGTAAAGGCGTCAAAGCATGAATGAAAGTAGTTGGCAATCTTAATTTTCCAGTTCACATTGATATGTCTAAAAATATTAAGAGCACACACATGTAAGCCATGCATGGTGACACGTGGCAGCACTTAGAAGACTAAGGCAGGAGAATTACAAGTTCAAGCCAGCCTAGCATACAGCAAGATCTTACCTCGAAAAATGTACACAAATAAATATGTAACAATTTAGTATACTCAATTCAGTATGCTTTAATTGTTCCTTACAACTAAAATAAAGTTTTATTTTATTCTAGACTTGGTCTCTTCATTCACTTGCTTTGATAGTGGATTCTAGTGGCCCAATGTATCGAGGATATGTGGAACCCACGTTATCTCTGGTTCTCACCTTGCTGTTGACAGTTCCACCTTCACACACAGAAGTTCATCAGTGTTTGGGTAGATGCTTGGGTGCTATAATAACTACTGTTGGACCAGAACTGCAAGGTAAGGAGATTCATTTTGAAAGAAAGTACATAGTATCTTTCAATTTCTTGAATGTCACTATCACGTGGCTTGCAAACACTTTGTAATAACCATCATCTGTGTACTGCATATTTTTTTAAACATTATTTTAAAATATTTTATTTATTATTTTTATTTCATGTGTATGCATGTATTGCCTGCATGTAGGTAAGTGCACCCATGTCATACAATGCCCGCAGAGGACAGAAGAAGCTGTCAGATCCCCTGGAACTGGAGTTACGGACAGTTGTTAGCTGCCATGTGGGTGCTGGGATTCAAACCCGGGTCTTCTGCAAGAATAACCAGTGTTCTTAACTGCTGAGCCATCTCTCCAGCCTCAACATGTGCCATTTTTTTTAAAAAAAACATTATTTTATGTGTGTTTTGCCTGCATGTGTATAAGGTACCACATGTGTGCAATGCCTGAGGACGCCAGAAGAAGGCATCAGATCCTCTGGAACTCCAGTTACAGATGTTTGGTAGCCATCATGTGGGTGCTAGGAACTGAACCTGGGTCCTCTGCAAGAGCAGCTATTGTTCTTAATAGCTGAGCCATCTCTCCAGCCCCATGTGCCATTTTTTTAAATCCATAAACAAACCATGACAGTGTTTTCTAAAATCTTGAGCAGAGTAAAGGTTTTCATATTTACACAAAGGCTAAGAACCTTGGAGCCCCTGAAAACAAAAATGAAAGTGAAGTTCTTTTGGCCTGGAGTGCCATGAACTTTGCTTTACTCTTTTTCATCTCTAAGGGTCAGGAACACAGTTTGAAAAACCACTGCCCTAAAGTCTGTTACTTGTCTCTGAGGAAGCAAGTTCAGAGAAGATCATTTGTCTAGAGTTACTCAACTTATAAGTGGAACGTTTGGAATTCTAGAGCTATATTCTTATCACTCACAACTAATCTTATTAATGTCTAAATTAAAGAGTGAAGTCAGAAAAACATTGTGACTGTATTCTGAATGCATAAATCATTTTCTCCTCTCCATTTATTAAATATTTTCAAGGGGTCAACTTTTTATTTACATTTATATCATTTAATTATGACACAATCAAAGATGTGTGTTACCCCCATTTTCCAGATAAAGCACTAAAGTAAAGAGAGGTTAAGAACTTTCCCAACGTTCTATTTTTATATATGATTATATGATTTTTCTTGATTGGTCTTTATATGTACATAAAATTATTTTGTTTTACATTAGAAAAAATTTAAGATGCTTACATTTGACAATTAAATTATATGCAGAGAGCATGTAACTTATGTTCTTTAATTACCTCTGTAAAATTTTCCATTAGTATTATTAGGCAAACAATATTTAAAGTTATTATAATGAAGGTAGTAGCATTAGTTGAGCAGAAAACAGCAGATTGAGAAATCTTCTGGGTCTTTTGCAAGAAACTGGTAGCCATAAAGGATAGTATAATTTTTCAGGGAATAAATATCTAAGATAGGAATTACTGCTTTATGTGGTTCAAAATCATATTTGTGTTCTTTTCAGAATTTTTGTTTTTTAAACAATCTGAATAATAATAGCAAGCAGGGTTATCTGGAAGATAATTACTTTCTAGGGATTTTTTTTTTTGATACTAGAAACGTGATTATATTTTACATTTTCTTTTCTTTTGCTGTTAGGGAATGGAGCAACAATTTCTACCATCCGCTCTTCTTGTTTAGTGGGTTGTGCGATCACCCAGGACCATTCCGACTCCCTTGTTCAGGCAGCTGCCATCTCCTGCCTTCAGCAGCTTCACATGTTTGCCCCGAGACATGTTAACCTGTCTAGTCTTGTTCCTAGCCTTTGTGTAAGTATATAACTGTTTAACTTTCCTCAAAGACCAAACTGGACCAAAACAAAAAATATGTTTTATGGATTGCAAGTTCTAGTGCTTAAGTTTTAATAGTCTTCTTTTATTTTTTTTTCTGTTTTGCCTATTAAGAAATGTTTTGATGAACTATTTCTTAGATAAGAACTTTTCACATGTAGTCTTTCCCACTCAGAATTTTATTTCTTAGAGCTTGATTGATACCTTTAACTTCTGAGGATCTCTTGCTGTCATTACAACCATTGACTTATTCATTCAATAAACTTCTATTGATGCCTTTTATGTGTGAGGGACCAGGCAAATACTGCAGGTACTTATATGAGGAAGGCAAGATCAAGCTTTTGTCATAATAAGGTTTATAGTTTACAAGGAAAATGAATAATAACAATTTATAAATACACTAGGAGCCAGAAAGGGGTATAGGAGGTTGAGGCTGTAGCTCAATAGTAAAGTGCTTATGTAGCATTTAAAAGATTCCCCCCGCAAATAAAAAGAACAGAAAAGGAAAGGCATACAGACAGCATAAGAAACAGAACTTGGCATAAACCATGCATTCAGGGGGCTGGAGAGATGGCTCAGTGGTTAAGAGCACTGACTACTTTTGCAGAGGACTAGAATTCTATTCCACATGGTGGCTAACACTCATCCATAGTTCCAGTTCCAGGGGATCCAACACCCTCTTCTGGCCTCTATGGACATTGCATACAAGGGTGCACTTACATATGCACAGGCAAACCATTCATACACATAAAATTAGAATAAATAAAATAGAACCAAAAAAAATTAAAACAGACGTTCAGAAATAATTTTCCTAAAAATCAATGCTTAAAGTGTGATATGCAGAATAAATAGCAGTCCATTTGAAGAAGAGCACAATATCAGAGTAGGTATTTATTTTTAGTCAGGGAGAAATATGGAAGACCCCAAAATAAAGGTGTGATATGCTTAAAGAACAAATTAGTGTGTGGTTAAGCCTGGGAGAAGATGGAGGCTTGGGCATCAGACTACAAGATGAGGCTGGACAGTTAGTCTGGCCGCAGATCATACGGACTTTCATGTGTATTAAAACTTTGGACTTTATAGACAATGGGGAATCATTATTCTATTCCACAGTGAGGTAACATGATCAGATTCTTGCTTTCTTTGTTCTGTTCTTGCTGCATAATGGAGAATGAACTGTACAGTAGGGTAAGAATTTTAGTATTCTGGGAGGAAGAGAATGATTTACTCTAGGTTGATAGCATTAAGACTAGGGAAAATATATAGATCTGAATGATATTTAGGAGGAAGAATTGATAGAATGAGTTGATTAATTGACTTTGAGGGAAAAGCAGGAAGGATATGGCTTAGGGTTCATGCCTGACCATGGTAATGGAATTTCCTGACCTTGGTGGTGTTGGAGAAAGTTGGGAAGAGAGGGTATCATTATTCACTTTTAGATATGTGACTAATTACTTGAGCCTGGAGCTCAGATAAAAGAGACTTGGGTGGAGAAGTAAGTTTGAGAATATAAACATTTTAGGTGGCCAGTGGGAGTAGATTAGGTCACCAGAGAGCATGCTTAATGAGGAACCCAGCATATAAGATTTAGAAAAGAAAGTGATCAGTGAAGTCAAAGTATATGGTATGGGAGGAAGAGGAAGAGAAAGATAATGACATCACAAAGATAAAAGGGAAAGTTGTATTGTTTACAGAAGTCAAATGGAGTAGAGGAGCAGTCAGCTGTGTCAAACATTCATGACATCAAGTAAGAGAAGAGCTATATATGTTTGACTTTTGTTACATGATTGTCCTTAGCATACACCCATCTGGAAAAATGATGGAAATGGAAGCCTAAGTACACTGCGTTAGAGATGAAGCAAGAACAGAAACTCCTTTCTATAAGTTTGACTGTGAAGGAGAGGACAGAAGCCAGGAGGTCAAGGGGATACTGGGGCCAGAAGAGACTTTTCCTCCTATAGCAGAGAGGCATGTTCCTGTTCACATGCCGATGGGAGAAAGCAAGTAGCATGGGGGGTGAGGCAAAGAGGATAATTAATAATCCAAGGTTTGCCGTGGGATAGTTTCCAGAGCATATGTAAAGGAATATTTCTTTAGTGCAACCCAAGGAAAGGAGGAGGCCATGAGCATAGGCATTGGTGGTGGGCTTAGATATTTTGTGACTGCAAGTGGAAGGTGGTGTCTGCTGAGTTTACACACTTAAGTGAAAGGAAAGATTTGTTTCTGGGAACAAGAAATCTAAAGTTGAGGAGAATCAGATACAGCAGAGTGAGCTAACTGGAGACACACATGATTTGTAGAACCAGGGATTGAAAAGAGATTAATGACCCACTTTGGATCCAGTATGATTTATGATGGAATCAGTTTAGCTTGCTAGGACTTTTCTTCTGCATCTGTAAAAAACTTAGATGAAGACAAGAAACCAGACTTCAGACTTGGCACTCAGGAGGGGAGGCAGAAGCATGTGGATCTCTGTGAGACCAGCCTGATCTACACAGCAAGTTCCAGGTGCACTTACATACATGCAGTCAATACACGCATACACACAAAAAAAAAAAAAAAAACCAAAAAACCAAAAAACAACAACAAAAAAACCCCCAACAAACTTCTGTTCCTTCATGGGTGCACGTTGACCAAGGACAGATTAAATGGCATCAGGTGAGGTAAGGAAGAAAGAATGCTAATGAGACAGTGCTGAAATGATAGACTGTGAAATCTCATTTGGTCAGGAGGGTGAAGACAGGAGGAGGCTGGTCTATGAAGCTAGAGAAAGACTGTAGCTGTCACCATGAGAGGATATTGTTGAGGTGAAAGGAGAACATGCAGGGTAATAGAAAGGTCATGGTAGTACATACTAGACTTGATGTGATATATTTAATTTTACTCAGTAAAAATGTGCTCCTATTTTACTTTAGACTAAGATGAATTCATTGAGTCCCAGACCATCATGGAATTTGAATAAGCCACAAAGCAGAGCCAAATGAACACCACATTTTTTTTAACTTGAAAAAAAAACTTTATTGAGAATTTCATACCTACATATAAGGTGTTTTGATCAAATCCATGCCCACTCTCTCCCCTCCAACACCTCTCATATTTTCCCAATGCTTTTTTCTGACAACTTTGTGTACTCTTTTTTTCTTTCTTCCTTCCTTTCTTTTCTTTTCCTTCGTTCCTTTTCTTAAAAAAAAATGGGGCTCTTTGCTACTCTAACATAACCCCCCTGAAGCGGTAATCCTAAAATCTTTTAGGGATTAGATAAGAGCTCCCAAATACTTTTCTCTTTTAGGTGTTGAAACAGAGTATGTTGCTAAGAAGGCAAAGGACATTGTTACTTTTAGCCAAGAAACTAGCTACTTTTTTGGGGGGGTCTTTTTTACCCTAACTGGCTAGCCAATTCCTACCTCCTATTCTTATCACACCATCTTCTGAAGAGGTTCCCCAAATTGCTGATAGGGAATCAGGACGCAGACCACTCTGGCTTCTTCCATGCTGAACAGGGATGCAGGGTGAGGCAATTGGGATACCTCTTCAGTGGCTCTATCTGAAAGACTCCCAAATTGCATAACTTTTATCTCTAAGGGGAAAAGAAAGTCCTTAAATCGTGAATAGGAGATGTGAAGAAGTAAAGGCAAGAGTAATTAGCATTACAAGTTCTAGACAGGGAACCAGAAAATAGTCAAAAGGGCAAATTTCAAATGTTCATATCAGAGTCCATTGGGATTTCTTGACTAGAGCTTCCAAAAGCATCCCTCTGTTGGGTTCCCCCTCATTTTTCTTTTGTCTGCCAAGGCTGGACTCAAGTGATGGATTCAGGATTTGCTTTCAGATATTTTGATAGCTGTTGGATTAGTTAGAATCAGTATTAGTTCCCTCTCAAATGCTTCTAGACAGGGGGAGAAAACAAATTTATCCATCATTTTAGAACAATAGCTGGTTGTCTCCCTTAGCTACAGGTGGGCACTACAGTATTGCAGACCAAGATTTGAAGTCTTACATCTAAGCAGCTCTTTCTGATTAG